TATATGTATACATATATACTTACATGAAAATATTGTAGTGTATACATATATATAGTTCTATGTGTGTGTGTGTAATCATAGTATAGGCAGGCATACCTGCACTGTCCACATGTAGGTGCGTAAAGTAGCTCTGGACTATGGGCAGGCGATACAGCAGCTTAAACATAACCAGTGTCTGCAACCAGATCATCATGCTGCACCGAATGAAGTGTGAGTACGGAAGCGCCATCATCGTCATCAGCAGCGTCATGGTCACTGTGGGTGTACGTCGGTAGTTAAGTAGGTAGGTAAAAGTGGTATAAATGTGGTCGAATCGCCAACTGCTTCGAGGAAGATTCAACAATAGAAAATCAGTTGCGACGTTTTAAATGAAATGCAAATACGACAGTGCCACATCAAAGTTACCAGAAGCGTCATTACCAACTGTGGGTGAAGGTAGGTAGATAATTAGGTAAGTAGGTAGGTAGATAAATATACAAAATGTGGTAGAATAGCCAACTGTGTCTAGGACGATATGACAATAGATGAATCAACATATACGTTTTCCATGAGATGTGAAATTGGTTGCGCAATTATCAATAGCAACAGTGGCATGGCCTCTGCGAGTGTAGATAATTAGATCAATCCGGTTGGTAGGTAGGTACGCCGACGGATACGCTGACCAAATATGGACACATGACAACTATTTCTCGATCGATACATTTATAGACAACCCAGAGTTTTAGGCTTTTAGCGTTGAGGGTTCAGGCATGGATAGACAAACCAGACGTGATGTTCCTAGAGGACAGGTAGGTAGTTAGAATTACGGACGGCTTGACCGAATCAACTCAATCAACTCGAGCTGGTTCACGTACATATGAGCTGTGAGTACGGCAACGCACTCATCAGTAACGGTAGCGCCACGGTGGCTGTGAGTACAGCACGTCGGTAGGTAGGTAAAACTACTATATATGATAGCATTACCGATTGCATCCGGGTGCCTACTATGCAAAAAAAGTATTGCATGCATCGGGCAGTGGGTTGTGTGTCACCGCATGGATGAGCATATGTACACAAGTGTGTGTGTGTGTGTGTATGTGTGTGGCTTACGACCATGCTTGAGTGCCTAGGTACAACAACTAGCGATACAATAATGGACCAATAACACATATCATAACACTTGTTTATGAAACGTACTACAACCATTTAGTTATGGCCATCGAACAACACACTTAGACTAAAAACATCTAGTTCTCTTCATGGTACAACATACTTAGATTGAGCGCCTCGACATTTTGCATCATCGCAGCGAACAGCAGCCACTGCGCGCCGATGGGAGCCATGTACCTGTAGTCAATTGTGTGTTAACTTTAGTTCTTCCCGTGCTTAGGTACTCTATTAAAATAAATACGTGTGCATTGATATTC